TATATATATAGTATTATTTGTGGCGTCATCGTTTTCAGTCCTTATCCTAATTAATTTTAGAATCTTCATTAAGAAATAACGTGGTTAGTTTGGTTTAGAATCATTTGCACGGCTACGGGACACATTCAAGAGCAAAAGTACTTCAGCAATATTTATGAATTGGATTTATGAAGCTTGCTTCATTACGTATTTACTATTCACAACGTCCAGGCGTCTATTATGCACCAGAAACTGATCCGCATCTCGTTGAACGATATGAGCTGCGATCTACTGAACTAGCGAGTCTGTGCTTTCGATGACGACCTCAATGGGCATCCGTAACACAATCCTACAATGATATACAAACTCCAAATAAAAGACTCGTGTCGCAGACAAATTTTTCGTGGGCGTTGTGGCCATAACAAAGCTTAGGCCGTGTGCCAAAAGTTTTGAGAGACAGGAATTGGCTGTACGTGGCCAAGGAAGTTCTTTATCTCATTATGCGCCGCACAACGCTTTTGGGCGTCCTGATCGATGACCTAGAGAGAATAAAAACGTCAGCAACGTTTGCTAAAAATAACAAATACACAAGAAGCGATGTATACGGACATTTTATACGATAAAAAAGTACCATCACGCACAAATGAAAACGCACCGAAATGGAAAAGGTCATTTGTCCGGAATGCGCGCAAACTATATATTTAATACTATATATATCCAAAACTGAAACGTAGACAGTAGACCAAAGACGATTACTCGAAATTCGTGTTTCAAAGTTACTCGCTAAACTGTGACACTTTGTTGTTTCTGTGTCTTCTGTGAACACTATTTTAACAATTGATTACGATTGTCATAGCAGCTGGTGTCGTTTTTAAATCGACATTTCAACATTTATGTAATGCTTCAGCAACGAAGACAAACCAAGTTGTGTTTATAGCAATGATTAATGTTATTACCTCAATAATATTGAAGCGATCATTGCTGTTTTTATTAGATACGCGTCTCTGCCGTTCTGAAGTAAAGCCTGATGGTAATCTATGCAACTCCGATGTTAACTTACAATGATTTTAGATGGATTTCCATGGGAGACGTACATATAACAGTCTGTTGCTGCCCTAAGTTGTTTAAGTAGATATTTGCCGTCTTTAAACAATGCTCCTACTGCCCATGGAGGCAAGGGACGCTCAAACCGCATATTATCCAAGCGATCCACCTCTTTTGCGATTATTTCGCAACCTTCGTCTACTTTTGTAAGGTCCTCATGAATCACCTGGGCCGAAAATTGCGAAAAAAACAAAGTCGAAATCATTGAGACATCATAATAATCAATTTAATGGTCTAATTTTAAACTGAATCTCAATTACTGACAACACTCTGTCTTGAAGTTCCCTAGAACCATCGTACGTAACAAAGTTTTTCAGAAAAACAGCCCTTATATTTTACTCGGCTTACAGATCAAATTGCTGCGATAATCGAGATTAAAATATAGCTGGGTCGTTGTTTGGTCATTCATCATTGCCTGTGCTAACAAGTTGGATAGTATTATGACCTAGAAGTTACGTGCAGCGATGCAAAAGCGTAACGTTTTCGTCTCTCAATTTAACTGTTATTGTTTTTGTTTTCATACGCCTACAATATCACGGCGCTCACACTCATATTTGGTCGAGTTCGCAATACTAACCGAGATCAGCGCCGTGTCTTCATTGCCCGGAGCAAAGAAGTCCAAATCGGATGTGACAATCCGGAGCGAGCAGCCCGAGCGTCCCGCCATTTGATCTAGCAGACTTTGGCCATCGGTACCTCGCCACTGCAAAGCGCGAACCATTTCACGGTCTACATGCACATAATTAATGTACATTTTGGTTGTCTGGTAGCTGACTAAATGGACGATGGCTCGATAGACGTCGACAACGACGATGAGGGAAACGTAGATTAAGGGAATCGACTACTTTCTGTCAGTAATAGCTCAACAACACCTCACTAGACGTTGCGTTCAGCTTCAGCAATCACGGAGAAAACGTACTAAGCTGAAAGACTCGAGAAGGAAAAGTGGAGAGTTAGTAAACAGCGATGAAATGGAATATTTCGGGGTCAAGCCAGTTTGGACCTACATATGACCGAGATGGTGCGGTAGACTAAGAGAATATATATTTACAACACGGGCTGTGCTTGATAATCTGCCTATAAATCGGAAACTTGTGAATTTTATATATGTGTCTACTTGAAAGAAGCCACAGTCGATGTTAACGTACGACCCGGCGGCCTAAACGCCTAAATCCCAGGTTGAAAAATTTGAGCATCGGTAGTTCAGACCCCGTTATCAATACACTTTACATAACACGCGTAGTGAACAGCGAAGATGTCAGCACACATTTCCTGTCGAGTCTGAAAGATACTACAACTAATAGTGACACAAAAATGCGATCGCCGCAAACCAACGTACCGTAGAGTTTCGAGTAGTCGGCGCACCACAACGAGAAACCACACGATGAAGTTGGGTAGGAGCAGACGAAACTGGGTCCAATTGTCAAGTTCGAGGCGCTTTTTCCTGTCATTCGCTTTTTATATTTCTATATTCCTTTCACGGTCCAGGCCGCAGGTAATCTATGGAGAATGTGCATGTGCGCATCGCGTCGCTTTAGCGAAAGTACAGTCAATGTGCTTCATCGGTGCACGTAACAACGTCATGGCGCTCGATGAGACCAATGCAGAATTATTGTGCAATTTGGTAGCCGCTTTCAGAAATCGATTTGTAACAGATGTTAAGGATAGCTTCAGCGGGTTTAACACTGAGTTCGAAAACAAATGTCGCTATACAGAAGACATTCTGCTATTTTTGGAAGGACGGTGTTCATCCCAAAATCGGATTGATCAATTCTACTATTTCGTGATAAGGCCCTCAACTTATCGTTACGATTTATACATAAAAAAGCAACTAACGTAACCTAAATGTTTTGGAGACTGTCTGATTGGGAAGGTTCATCAGGCTTACTTGTGCAATGTTTTCCGCGCATGTCAAATGATAATCCAAGCTATTTTGGGCGCATGTTTCGATGTTTTTATTCTGCGCGTTCAAATATAAAAAGGCCTATTTTAGTCGTTAACCAGCCTTAATATGAGTATTCGATTTATGAAATCGTCTCCCTTGAAAACAATCATTGAATACAATTCCCCTTGTATTCTCCCTTGAATACAATTCAGGTGAAGAAAAATGATTACTAATCGTAAATAAAAATCATTACTTATTATTCGATCCTTTTCTTTTAGGCAAGTTAATCAAACCCCGCGATTGCCTTTAGCTATGAACCTGTCGCAAACACCGAAGAACATCTGAATGCTTATAAGCACTAATATACTAAGCAGAAAATAACAATAGCTGATTAGTGCACAAGACTGCAGGGGCTTCCGAGTGCAAATATGTGCTTCTTATATAGACAAGCAGCTTCTCGTATCCAACACATTGTTGTCAGCTTGCTCCCACATGTACAACACGCACCCTTCACGCAAGAAAGTATATATATATCGCTGGAAACGGAATTGACGCACTAGACAGACAAACTGCACAGCGAAGCTTCGATGCGTGTAATGGCTATTACCTACGGCGCATGAACAGAAGTGGTGGTAATGGAACAAACGCAGTAAGTGCCAGTTTGGACGGCAACGAGGCTTGTTACCTCATCTTCAAAAGCCAACATATCAGTTGCGATTATTTTTACTAGACACAAGCATGTCTGTTGCTACTGAATTTGTCCGTCATTGAAAATTCCGCAATTACTATAAATGTATTTAGTAATGTTCTTCTCAATGGATCAATTTGTAGTTCCTGCTGCCTTAACGTGGTAGTTATAGTAATATCTGCTTTCTCTGTCTCAATAGTTTTCATGAATCCTTCATCAGCATGTACCAACGTTGCCGTTATACAGCGGAAACTCCAACAGCTTGATCACTGTTATTTCGCAGCGTTAAGCTTTAATGATGGGATCATATTGATAAAGTTTCGTTAATTTAGGCATCGTCTCTAATGTCACCTAGTCCTTCAGCCAGCTATCATATCGATTATCGGCCCCTCGATACAACATCGCAGGAAGGTTGCTGAAATTTCACCATAATTATAATATACCAAATTAAGATTATCCGTACTCGACCCTCTATGTAGCAATGTTAAAGGCGGCATTTATCAAATATCAAGCAGCAGTGGGCAACCTGATAGACTTACGCTACAAGTAGCATTGGCGCTGACGCCCTGCCAGGCCAGTGTAATTCACCGAGCAGTAATGGCAAGCAACAAAAATAGATGCTTCGTGCAGAAACAAATTACCTTGTTCTCGTGCTCTTCGCAGTAGTAGTGGTCAACGGAAGCCACCACGGGTTGAAGCCTCGATACAACAACACACCTTCGTCAGATGACGTAGTTACTCCGGACGATTTCACCGCGACTTTTGCTGTTCCCGCTACTGCTGCTGCTGCTGTTGCCTGCCTTGACGGCAATAGTCTGCTGCTGGGGTTATAATCATGTTTGAGAGCTTCAGGTAATGGGTCAGAAGTATAGAGCTATTATATATGAAGCGTACCACGGAACGACTACTACGCCGCTGTTTCGGCGGCCACATCTTTAGCAGCCGGTGGGTCTGCGGCGGCATGTCTTTGAGAATACCAGCGACGATCAGTGTTCCGGCAATCGGTGGCCCCACGGCCACCGTTGAGCAGCAGGCCCCATTAGGTCCACTTGAGACTCTGCTACTGGGTTCGTTAATAAATGTGACGGCAGCAAGGAAACAGCGCAGTCGGAGTCCTGGCGATATAGCAGTGGCTACAAGTGACGGTTCCGTAGCGAGTATTAATAATTTTGCTATGCCGTTGCTATTCGGACGCCTCTGGCACTAGCAATCAATCAGCTTCAGTTGGTGCTTCGCGTATGATTATCAGCTAGTCAAGGAATCTGACTGCATATTTGGCGGGGAAAAGGAAAAATACGAATGATGCTATTATTCTAGGATAATATCTAGCAATAAAGGAACCTATTTCTGTACTGTTCTAAAGTCTAGAGCGGTTCTAGAAAGATGTATGTGTAATCGTGTTTGTTTCGGTCGCAGCAACTATTCATGTTGATCGTGACGGCTGACGGAGGATTAAACGTAATAAGTAGGCCAAAGGAAAATAGCGTGGATGCCTTACGAATTATAGGTGTGAATATGTTTTCCGAATTGGATATGCATCCGTAGAATCCGAATTTGTTCGTCATGAAATTGCCTAATAAATGTTAGCGTCCGTTCAGTCATCTTTGTAACGGTACGTTGTCTGCCCTCAGTTCAAGAAGTTAGAAGCGATAGCAACGTGTCGTATTTTAGGCAGCTGGGTAGTTGTCCATAGTGAAATCATAAATTGTAAGAATAAATAAGTTATAAGTAAGCTATAGAAAGTTTAACCCAAGCCCCTTCAAAGTACCAGCGCAATGTTATTATATAACGGCGCTATACTATTGCTGGCCTGCTTTGATACGCATTTTCTATGTACCAGCTATTTCGCCTGTTCAACTTGTTGGCAAAGAGTCCCTAAGTAACTTATGAATTAGGATCTTGTACAAATCGCTTTAGATTAAACTTTGCCTATCTGTATCATTGTTTTATTCTTTGTCGATCTAAAACACATTTGACCTGTAGACATTTCGAATGACAGCTTCTATTTTCAACAGCTCATATACTTTTAGTTCTATTCTTTCTTCATTTGCTTGAATACGATAAAAAAATTGCCTCTAATTTATAAACTCAACCGAGTGGATTGTATCTAATAAGTGATCGATCCATGCCTTTTTCTAGCGGGCCGACGTCAGCAACGCCTATTGAGAAACCTTTGAGGCTGCTTATGTCTAGGTAATTAAGCTACCGTTTAATGGTTCGGTAATACCGTGTATGCCTACAAAAATATGGAGGACACGTGAAATGTTTTAGGTTCGAAATCGACGGTAGATAGCTTACTTTTGCTGCTGGGACTAGCCGTCTATGCCTAATTAAGACAGTACCGGAGGTTGAACACCATAATGTACACGAACTTCGGTGAGAATGTTATATACGTACTAATGATACGTGAAACAACAATATGCATTAAGTATATAATCTTGTGTACAATAGACAAAAAATTTGGGTTTATTTATGAGATAAAGAGATACACGAAGCCACACAACAATGAGAAAGTTGCATGGTCATTATGATTATTATTTAGTAGTAGGGATTAGAGACACTAACTAGACGAGACCAACTCGAAGTTTCTCTAGAAGGACTTCTACTACTACTATACAGGTCGTCCTCTGTTACATTCCGTACTCAAGCCCGAAGTATCCTATGCAAGAGGAAAACCATTTTTAATTAAGAAGGTGCTCTTCGCATCGCAAAACAATATCGAGCAGCGCGGAAAAGAGACTCGATCGATGATGGTAATGATAACGTATGTGCAGAAATTTACTCAATTGGTCTTATCTAATGTTATTTCAACCACTCGAATTGTTGTCGAGACCTAACCGTCACAGTCCCCGAACTCAAGTAGCGAATAATTGCGGTATCTATCGCAATACTACCATTACCTCTTTTATCATTTGCGATTTTTCGGTATCTCTCCGGTATTATTATATTTATTTGGTCTAAAAAAGCGGTCTTTCCCCGCCTTGCTCTGTATCGCCTAGCAACCACAGCAGTAACAATCGCGCTTATCACAAGTTTCCGTTTATTTTGCGTTCAAAAATCTTGCCCTGCTATTTAGTTACAACAATAGCGATTGCACGTTATCGTACACTTTTACCCGAAGGGCACTCATCACCCTCATTCACTAATTCCCTTTCCGCCATCATCCTGCTGAAGGGCAAAGATAAGCGACCGTTTCAAACAGCAAACGACTAAAGTGGCATCGTAAGCGGAAAACAAACATCGCACGTAATGATTCATTCTCTTGACAAACAAAAAGAAAAGGAAGAAGAGTTTTGCAAATAAATAAATGTAAATACGTGGGCGAAACAACAAACCTCAAGCAAACAACAATAACAATTCTCAAAGTGCCCAACCCGGCCCGATATCTTTATAACTTGTTTCTACATCTTGAGATAAACGTATGTTTGACTATTTCTCGCTATGTGTCGCTTGTTGCCGCACCTCTCGTTTGAGGACTTATATTTTGTATATGTATGTTGACGATAAGACACGGGCACAGGCTGCAGCAACGGCAGCTTGGCGAAGCGTTATAGCACAGAATATCTCACCGGTATACAGTTGCGTAGGGCTGTATCACACTGAAGTGATGAGTCTAATAGACAGACGGACGAACTGCTGGTGCTACATCTGCGTCAGGGTGCAATTTTGCAACCCTATAACTGTATATCGTAGTAGGCATTTATCAAGCTAATATGATTAGCTTATTCGAACAACGGCGGGAAAATCTAGCAAGAGTCAATGTAGGTCGTCGCGGAGATCCATATATGGAGCCTCAGTTTGTTGTGGGGCCGTTCGGTGAAGACCTCTGCCATCGAAACTATTATGTTTTTATGTTGTAGTAAAGCGTGAGGCTATTATCTTCGTCTATCATTACTGGTCGATTGTTAACTATTGCTGTTGCTCCTAATGATGAAATAACAGTTCAGCATGATTACTGCCATAGCTGCTTACAAAGTGTTGTTGTATGGCCGTTCCTGTTACCAGCAAGTGGCCATATCCACAGTTTAGTGTTACGGGTACTCTGGCTGCCCACGAAGACCTAATAATTGGAAGCCTATACTCCAAACCCAGCGCGCTAGCAATTCGGGGTGAAGGACGTCAATATGGTATGAAAAAGTGCCGGCCGTGGGATACCCTGAAAGAACCTTCTGTAGAACGCCAATGAATAGACGAGCTATACGTGTTTATACGTGTGCTGTTAAACGTATGCCTCTATATAGATACCATAAAATCGAATAACAAAAATACTGTCTCAGTTCTGTTCTTGGCTTTTACTAAAAACAACTGACAGCGTTCCAATAGATTTAGTGATTCACCAGGATGTCACTGCAATAGCGCAGAATATAAGAGAGATTCTATATATAAAAAGCGATCTTGAGTCACTAGTAAGTTTCAGCCTACCTATAGGCGCACTCTTTAGGTTTGTTGTCCTTCACAACGCTCCCTCCCTTCGTCTTCAGTAAAATGACGGTCTTTCAACAGGTTTAAGCCATGACTGACCGAAAAATCATGTTTTGATGTCCTATGTTGCGCCAGCATGGAGAACTGGACTAGCAGATGTTGAACAGATCAATCTTACCTCAGTTTGGCACAATAAATTAGGCAAATCAGTTGATCCATCGATTTTGGCCTGTCGTACTGCACAATTTGATCTGCTTTTGACTTCGTTGGCAAACCTGTCAGACCCCACTAAATAATGCACACTTAATGGCGAGCAATTAGTCCATCAGATCAATAAACAGTTAGACATATCGCTAAAGGAAACCTTTCAACGGCATCGATGGCGATACGTACATACCGTTGAAGATTCAACAGTGCAAAATTAGTTGAGTTCATTGTGAAGTGGAGAGGCTCTTTCTATTTATATATTAGATATAGATCTGCATAGCAACTATGAGTATGTAACCACCACATTGTGGGTCTTTAGTAAAGGGGTAAGAGGGAGCAGGCGCTGTTGGTGCGAGGGTCTTTTTCTTCTCCTCAAAATAAAGCTGTTCTTAGTCGTCTGTTTTGAGTTCAATTCGAACTTTCAAATGTGAGTCGGAATGAGAACCTAGGTTTTCAAGTACTCTAAAAGCGTTATTCGTGCCTCGTACCTTTAAAGTCATATCGGCTCTAATTTATGTTGCAATATATAGTGTATATTGCACAGGTATCGAAGCTGCTACTCGTGCGTAATTGTTAATTCAGTATGGCCATAAAACGTTTTGCGCACTTCAAGAACTGTTATATATATGCGTCTTGATTTCAACAGAGGCGCATTACAACAAAATAAGTAGCTTTGTTTTTTTTAGATTTCCGTGCACAAATATTGGTAAAGAAAATAGGTCCGATTCGCGTGCGAGAAAAAATACCTAATCCTAAACCATTGTCAAGGCAGCCTCTACGCAATAGCACTTGCAGAGATATAAGCACAACGCGGCGACAACGACATTTACAAAAATCACAGCTCACCTCTAGTTATCCAATAAACTACAACCAATACTATACGCCCAATAGAAGATCATATCTTCTAATTTGCCGTCCGATTCGTCAAATGTCTCGTAGCCAATGAGCTTGTCCGTATTTGTTTTACGGCTTAACTTGGCCGTCAATGCAAAGACATGTATCTGTTCATAGTAATTTGACAGCGACGTAAAAAGACAGAAGCTCTACAAACGTATTGGAACCCTGTGTGATTCGGCTTGGCGTGTTGCTTACCAACTTCGCATACGTTTCATTCGTAAGATTATGCCCGTTGCTTTTTCCTAATCAGTCCAGTTACTGGCATCGGAGGTAGCAGTCTGTCCAAAATGCAACACCAATAGTAATTAGCCCACTATACCTAATACAACGTAGAGCTAGTTCG